CGACCATTATAAACCACTGGCATCTCCATCATCCTGTGCAAAATTCACAGCTTAACTGTGCTCTGTGTGAAGAACCCCCAGTGTTGCCTATTTGCTTCATTTGGTGCCCCTGGTTGTAGTAGAAGATGGTGAAGAGGTTTTTTCCCTACTTGCTTTCTTCATGCTGTTTGTAACTGTACCGACTTCTGTCGTACACTTAGTCAGTCATCTCTTTCTTGACTGCTGAGTCTTTGCCTGTTTCATTATTTCTCATTTCAAAGCTCTTCTGTACCTTGTGTAATTCTTCCCCCTCTCCTGAGTGCCTTCCCTAAGCACTCGGGGTGTGTTTGTGTGCCCACTGTCTCTGTTCTTTAGAGCAGTTGCTGATAGCACCCTGTAATTGTCAAATTCGATGTTCTGAAATTACCTGGATCTCCTTTGAAACCCTCTAAAAGAATCATTCCATTTGCTGCCTTCTGTTCCTCTGCCGCTGCCAGAGGTTTACGCCAGAGACTGCCCATCACAGCGGAGCTATTTCGTCTTAAGAGCCTCCGGATGAATATTGCGTGGGCCCGATGACTGTCCTTCTTCATTACAGGATGAATACTGCATTTACAAGTGTAGGAACTCTCAAGCAGTTGTTCCATAACCACGTCTACTGGCGCTGTGGCTTGACCGGGTTCCTCCAGTGTCCCTTGTCAGGAGAGGGGCCAGCCTGGGAATCGTTCTAAGACCTTCCACTGGGGACACGGCAGAGAAGCAGAGTTACATTTTTGCATCTGTGGCTTTATCTCCTGACTGTTGCTCTTGGGTCTTGATCTCCTGTAGCCCTCAGACTCCCTCACAGACTTCTTAAGATGTTTGGAATAGGATTTCTTAATCCCTTTAATGGAGAGGTGGGTGGAGGTGGAAGGTGTTTGGTGGGGGTGGATTGAGGATTCATGGGGGACTTTTAATTCTGCTAGCTTTTTACAGTTTTATGTATTTCCTTGTTTGCTCTAAAAATCATATTTATTGGAAAAATGTCTTTCCTCTTACCCTCTTCCCTTGTTGCCGAGCCACACCATATTTTCCCTATAGTTATTTCAGCGGGACAAGATCCCTTTGCCATTGCCTGTGGTATATTTTAGGTTCTGTTCTATTGCTGTGAGGTTTTTCTCCAGCTCAGCAGCAGGAGGACTGTTAGCTTTGATGCAGGACGGCATTATCACGTCCCCGAAGGTGCTGGTGGTGAACCCGTGCATCAGCGTTTCTTGCGCTCTGCCACCCCGGCCTCAGCAGATGGCATTTAGTGCCAGACGCTTGTGGTCCATCTGCCTGTAGGACAGGTAGCAGCGTGTGTATATACAAGCACACAGAACAGTGTCAAATCTTATTTGTTATCATCCAAGTGGAGAGTATAAGCGGAGTGGATGCACCCGACAGGGCCGCACTTCCCCGGGGCCCCTTGCGGGCTGCCCGGTGGGGGTTTATCTTCCCCTACAAGTGTCTTTCTGGCCACTTCGCATCTGCAAAAGACGTTAAACGATCAGCAGAGATTGAAATATTCGTCTTCATTTTGTCCGTGCCTTTTATTAAAGTTCATATAATCCAAAGAGGCTTTTAAATGGTCCGTGGCTTAATTTATTCATTAAGGAATTCAAGCAATAAACAGTCTGTGTTTTGGCCTGATGCCGATGCTTTTTCTCGTTACTGGTGCAGCTTGCAGGGATGTCTGTCTCTTGCTTTAAACACCGAAGCTCCGCGTGCTCCTTGCTGAAGCCCTTGTACCTTAGCTGCCTGCTCACTGCCTTGTCAAATCGCTAATGAACCTGAGCTTCTCTCTCTTAGGGCCACATTCTGCCCTCAGCTGAACTTGTTCAGGCTGAGTTGCTTCCGAGGTATTTCACAAGTGTATTTTTTGTCCAGGTCGCTTACAGAAGTCTTGCAGCATTGCACCTGGATCGGTTAATTTTATGTAAATTAAGCGTGACTCTTCCAGCAGCAATCCTTTCAGCCAGTTTATACAACTCCTCTATCGGTCAACTCTGTGTTCTTCTCATCTCTACAAACTCTTGCAGAATGGCCCTTTCACTACCTGTGCAGGGAATAAAAGCTGCTTCAGTGGCACGGATTGGCAGTGTAGCATGATTAAGTCAATGGTAACTAACGCTGGAAACTATTTTAAGGGACGGAGCGGAAATGTTTCCAAGTTGGTTTCTTACCAAGCAGCCCAAACGCCGCTGTTGGATGGCAGTGTCCAAGCGTTGGTACTGATACACTAAGGAGGTCTCTAACAGAGTCTGGAAGACCTTTCGGGTAGGTTTCCCCAAACGAGGATCCCAGCTTCTTTAGGCATCTTCAGAAATCTCTCAGGGTTTTTTACTCATTTTGGGCTTCTCGGGCTTGATAAATGGGGGGAACTCTCTCTCTCTAAAAAAGAAAACGTCTATTTAAAAAGTAAATTACAAAGTGAGGCCTTGGCTTTATTTTTTCTTTTCTTAAGAGAGTGTTTTCTTTGTTTTCTTAAGAGGCAGTGAGTACTCTGTCGCTGGAACATTTTCTGCATAAATCACTGCACGTGTCTTAAATTTGAACGGAGGACTTAACAGTTTAATACTCTCTGATGGTATGTGTGCAGCTTTAGGAAAACACTGTGTAGGAAGTCAGAAACGTGCCACGAGCGGCCCAGAGTATTAGAGCGTGGGGTGGATTGGGTGTGGTGCTGGGGAGGGTGCCTCATCGCCCCGCACGCCTGGAATGATGGGGGAGTGGCTTGCAAATATTTGGGATAAGGGCTTTGGCAGTCCAGGGCAGGAATATGGAAAGAAATGCGTTAGGGAAGAATTCAGTTGAACTCAGGTTTTCTGTTGGTAAAATTGATTACAAACAGGGGCAAGAAGTGTGGATGCCAGCAGGTGAATGGACTGATGGGGTGTCTGACGCCTGGTTGGGAAGGTCAGCTTTTTGCCGGTCATAGCAAGCTTAAAAATTAACGCTCTCCAGCATCTCGCTGGAGGTTTTATAGAGCAGGTCACAAACCGAGAAATTGCGATGCTGATGACTGCAACAGAAAAGAAGATATTACCGTCTAAATCCTCCTTCTTTTACCACCAGAGAATCATATTTTGGAAGATGTAAACAAGTGTGTCATTGCTCTCCAAGAAAAAGATGTTGATGGTTTAGACCGCACAGCTGGTGCAATTCGAGGACGTGCTGCTAGAGTCATTCACGTCGTCACTTCTGAAATGGATAACTACGAACCTGGAGTCTACACTGAGAAGGTGTTGGAAGCGACCAAGTTACTGTCCAACACAGGTAAGAGTCAGTTACTCCCCAGATCCCCAAATTCATAGTGCTTACAAGCGCATGGGCAACCGAATACCATTGTACCTGTGAAATCTATTAAAGACTCCATTTACATACTATAATGAAAATTAGTGGGAGTTATTTGCAGAGCGGTTGCAAAATGAGAAATGTAATTTTGCTGTGGTGACTGGCTTAAAACTCCGCGGTGCACAAGGTCTCCCTGAACGCGCTTGCTCTCACCGACTGAGCTGTAGGAACCTGAACGCACCGGGGAACGCGTCCCAGACAGTGCATCAGGGCTTGGAAGTCGCTGAACGTCTCAGGGTGTTGTACCAGGCTCTCTCGGCGTTCAAGATCCAGCAAGAAGATTCCTGCCGCATTGGCCCAGTAAAATGAACGTGTAATAATTTAGGGTAAATTTTGTAAAATATCTTTATAACTGTTAAAGAAATATTGTAGGTCGTAGTCACCCACCCGTAAACGTAAATTGGGGTGTTCCTTGTGAACTAGCTGGTGACATCCATATAGGGTAAGGAATGATGCTGCTTGCCTCAATGAGTGCTGTGCCAACTGTTAGTTGTTGTTTTTCCTTTAATTACAACTTTGATGAATAATCAAGGGTGACACTGAGGAAACACACGGACTGTAAATGGCTCTGGGATGTTCTTCCTGGGCTGCAGTGAGTCACTGAAGTACAGCAGTGTCAACCTGCCCTCTTCCAGTGCTGCCTTAAACTTGGGCTTTGTCGTGGTAATACTATTTTTTCCCCCCAGAATGATGTACATCTACAGGGAATATTATGCAAATGCTTAATATTTTATCCCCTGGATTCTAACTGCTTCCCCGGGTGTCTTCTCCTTATCCATTAGAAGGGAGTGATAAGCTTTTCACTGTCTAAGAGGAAAAAAACAAATAGCAGTAGAATAAAGAGAAATTGAAGTGAATGTAAGACTTGAGCTACAGTATGGGTGTCATTCTATAACAAATGTTTTGAATTTAAATGGAACCACTGCGGAGTTTCCAGTGATAGTTAACAATAAGGCACACACACAGAGAAAATGACACTGGGGTGGGGACTGACTGCTATTTTGTGCTCTTAATTCAGTTATGCCGCGGTTTACTGAGCAAGTAGAAGCTGCTGTGGAAGCACTGAGTTCGGACCCTGCGCAGCCAATGGATGAAAATGAATTTATCGATGCGTCGCGACTGGTGTACGATGGAATACGAGATATCAGGAAAGCCGTACTGATGATCCGGGTGAGCATATCTTACTGAAACAGCTTTCTGTTTTTCCGCTGGCTTCCCCCGCTCTGTTGAACTGACGTGCATCAGTTTTATTGAGAGCAGACAGCGTAAGATTTTAATTTAGCTCGTATTAACATTCTGAGTCTTAAAAACTGCTAATCACTCTGTGGAGTACTTCAGAAGTACGTTTCGATTCAAATTCATTAAACAGATCTGAGCATCAATGATAGCCAGAGTTGTGACGCTAAATACCCTTCACGCAGCTTTTGTAATATCACGTTAATGCCTTGCTTGTTAATGTGCTGAAATCAGTGACCTTCCATTTAACAACAGCGAGTGGATTCTTAACTACAGATGCTTTTTCATGGTTTCAGAGCTTAGAAATAAAACCTGATGGCTCTTTATTAAGTAAATTTTGAGAATTAATGCTAGTTAGTAAAAAACAGGTTTCGAGGAGGTCAGTCTGTAGTTCCCGGAGCACGTAATTTGTTAATTGGCTAAGCTCGGTAAACAGGGACCAGTTCACAGAGGCTTTGTCTCTTCTGTGCTTTCAGGTGTGATGAGTGTGACTTGGAAGTCCTAATTTCCGGTAGGTCAGGCAGGTTAGAGTGGTAGGAGGTGTGCAGGGAAGAGGCAGAAGGGCTCCTGCAGTTAATTGAAGGGATGCAGAAAAGAAAGTTCTGGTTGAGGCTGACCTATGGGCATGTTTCTTGAATCTTAGCATGGTAAAAATGGGCAGGAGCCAGGCACAGCAAAAACGAATGTAGGGGGGTTATTCCTTTTTTTCTTTTCTCCTTGTGCCCCTCGGACTCAGATGTAAATGCCTCGCAGAGAAACTGTCCTCATCTCTCAGAACGGTAACCGTGGCAGAGGCGCTTTGGTGATAAGTAAATTGAGGACGTCCAGCCCCAGAATATATGTGATTATTGTAACCATTGCAATAGTATATTCCATGTTTGCTGCTTGAAGCAAAGAATCACATGGAAAACCAGAAGAAAAGTTGACAACCACATATGTGCTCTCCATATAATTTTTTGTTTTCAAACTTGAGCTCAGGATTTATAGACAACCAACGTTAGATGAAGATGTCAGGACTTGCCTGCTCTGCAGACAAACTAATTTGACTCACCCCCCGCTGAAGTCCTTGTTATTCAGGACATGAAAGCATGACTGCCAGTTCCACGTCGTCGGTAATTAGCTGAGCTGGCGATGCCAGGAATCCTGACGTTTCCCCTTGCGCCGCGTCTCCGATGTCAGGGTGCCACGGCTTTATTGCAGCTGCCAGTAGCTAACGGCAGCTCGCTGCTGACACGTCAGTGACCTATAAAAAAGTTCAAATTGTTAGTATTTGTTGTCCAAAGGGCTGTAAGGTGTAGAACGTATTTAGGATAAGAGAGCCATCCAAATGGAGATACCAGGCCACCGCTTCTCCAGGGCGTTGACTCAAGCTGGACCACACGCTCGCAGAGGGATGCTGCTAAGCTCAGCTGGGACAAACCAGCTGATTGACTGGCAGCTTTGTCTGGTGCAACTTGTTCTTTACAGGAACCAGAAGGAAAAGTCACTCAAACACCTAATTTTTTGTGTTTATGCAGTGTATTTTCAAAGCTAAAATCTTACTATATCGGTAAGTTATTGAAGTAAAGCTCTTTCCTCCCCGGTCCCCAGGCCATCGCGTCGCCCCCAGAGGAGTTTTTGCCCTTGATGACAGCCTGAAAGGCAGAATTACACTCTGTGTACCTCAGGTTGTTTGGGCTTTGGGGTGGATGGGCAGAGAAGGGGACTTCAGAATCATAAGCAGTTTCTAAAAATGCAGCAGAACTGTTTTCTTTATTTGTATTTTTTTAATTTCTTAAATAGTGATGCACTGAACTACTTATGAGTGTATATCCTTATGCTGATTTGTGGATATACTCTGTACTCTATTGTGGAGTCTCCCCCTCTGGAGCCATCCCAAACCCGCCTGGACGCCGTCCTGTGCCACTGCTGGAGGTGCCCCTGCTCTGGCGGGGGGTGGACTGGGGGAGCTCCAGAGGGCCCTTCCCACCCTCACCAGTCTGGGACTTTGTGATTCTTTGAGGCATGGAGAGGAGGTGGTGGCCGAACTACCCTAGGTCGTGATTGTGTGCATCCTCACCTTTGCTTTTTGGCAACTAGTTTTCATATCGTCTTTATTTTAGCTGTATCACAAGACGTCTGTATTGAAAAACAAGTTTGTAAAATTCAAATCGTAGGAAAGAAATCTGAAGAACAGGGACTTTATTTGTGTCTTATCTGTTAATCACAATTTATTGCATTTATCGGTGAAGTCCTTTGTTGATTCAGCTCTGCAAAATCGTCATGAAGTGCCACTCTAGGCAAAGATGTAGTATTTTGACAAACATGCTGTTTAAACTTGATAAGCTTTATAAAAAGTTTGCCAGCTATAGGCTGGCAGTCGCAAAAATAAATCCGAGGCAAGCAGGAACTAGGTCAGATGTGTTTAGCCTACAGCATAAAATCTGGCCCTTACTCGCTAAAAATTTCCAGCTTTTCCTGGGGGATAAGAATAAATTTCGATATATTTTATCTGTTGTTAATTTAGTCGATGCTTTGATTCATAATTGTGCTAAAGACGACGACCGTGGTTTTGAACCAGGCCTTAAAGCTGTGTGTAATTTTAGCTCCAGAATCTCAAGCGAAGCTTTTACATTTAACCAAGTTGCAAAAATACTGCTCGTTTTGCAAAAACTTTTTTTTTCTGTGTTTCAAGTCCCGAGTGCGTTAGTGTCCTGACAAATCTCAGATGTTTAGTTACTGGTATGTAATTTTGGGGATCCCTTTGGTATTTAACGTGAGCAGTCAAGCGTGTATAGTCCCACGTGCTCACAAGCTGAATACAGTCCCTGCATGTACCTTTTTGTTGAAAACGGTCAGTAATTTGTACGGTCACTTATTTCCATTCTGTCTGCTTGAAAAATAATATTCTTGTTGATTTTTAGAGCCATGAAATCTATTGTTTGACTCTGACTGAATGACTCTTTCCTCAGACTCCTGAAGAGTTGGATGATTCTGACTTTGAGACTGAGGATTTTGATGTCCGGAGCAGAACAAGTATTCAGACTGAAGACGATCAGCTCATTGCTGGACAAAGCGCGAGGGTAAGGAAGAAATAAACTTATAAAACCGTGACACGACTTCAAGGAACAGTTCCACTTGCTTTGAAAATCCAGGTTTAAACTTTTTGGGGGTGGTGGTGAAAATGTTGGATCAGAAAAGTGCCATTCTTTATTTCCATTTTGCTTCTGAAAAGGAGGTTAAGTGAAAGGCAGCATGTGTTGGTCTGATGGATGTGAGAAACGTCTGTGGTTTATTTTGGATGTTCTGAAAGATCAAAATCCTTTCAATGCCGATGAACTCTTTATACTTTGACTTCACAGACGTTGTAGGCACTGCCGTTTAGTCAGGTGAGCTTCTGCAGGGAGATACGGGGCAAATCATTCCATCGTACTCGTGTTATTTTCAACAGACAAACACTAAGTTTGTGGGCAAGAAATTGCTATAAAATTTCTTCTCACGCACGTGTTGGTGTGTGTTTGGCCACTGAGAATTTAATCAAGACAATGTTGAGAGGAGCTCAAAGATGAAGTCATTTAAACTCCCTGCATTTCCTATGCCTGTTAAAAATGGAAGCGTTGATAAGCACTATGTCATCATTAATAGGTGAAAACTTAAAACCAGCCCACTGAAGGAAAAGCGGGCCTTACCTAATGTTTTTAGTTCACGTGTCCCCTTCTGGATCGATAACAATTTACACTCTCGGGAAAGTGCCACGAAAGATTTTTTTGTGAAGGCTCTTCTAGCCTGAAAGCAGGCGAGAAGTAGCGAGGACTTATTTATCAAACTTCTGCCGCATTGCCTTTGGAATTACACTAACTGCGAGTATTTTTTATGCTCTCCTTCCTTGTGCAAGCACTCTCTCTATTCCTGTATCCCTCTCCCCCCTTTTATTTAAATGCAGACATTTCTGATTTACCTTTTGGCACGGCTGGTGCCAGAGGCTTTTTTGTACCAAAGACTCCTTTTCACCTGCTCCCGGAGGCATGAATGCTCCTAGTATTTATGAAGGCAAGGGCACCGAGTCTCCTGCGGGCTGTAAACCTACTCTAATAGATTTTATTCAGGAGTAAGCACATACTCTTTATTTTCTCTTACTCGTTCCTCAGTATGCATGTTTCAAAATAGCACATCTAGCTTTTTGCCGGAGAGAGACTTGTAATATTTCTTCTGTGCATTGCAACACCGAAAGATAGCAAAGTGGAACTTCCTTTAAAACTTTTAAATTTTGTAGAAAAAGCAAGTCCCTCCTCTTCATGCAGTTCTTCTTTGATGGACGATAATATCTGGCAAACTTGTTCGGCGTCTAACAAGTTCATCATCCCCATGTTTCAGATGTAAACTTGTCTTTCTGGGCACATTTCCTTAAGAAAGAGCACAAACTTTGGTTCAAAACAGAAGGAAATGGTTCTGTAAAGCCTCTAGGTAGAGGATCGCAATTAAAGTTCTATCCCTCATCTACATGACTTAAATTGGTTATTAGTGAAATGGTCCAAAAAGCCTTCTACAAGCGGCGGCAGGAGGCAATGTGAGGAAACTCTCTCTTTCAGGCTATCATGGCTCAGCTCCCTCAAGAGCAGAAAGCTAAGATCGCTGAGCAAGTCGCAAGCTTCCAGGAAGAAAAGAGTAAATTGGATGCCGAAGTATCAAAATGGGATGACAGCGGTAACGATATAATTGTTCTGGCAAAACAAATGTGTATGATTATGATGGAAATGACAGACTTCACCAGGTGAGTCTTTTTAATTTGGGCGCACACCACCTTCTCTCAGAACTGGCTGGGATACTGATCTTCCCATGAAATATTTTGCAAGCGCTCTTAAGAGTCTTACTTATAATTTCCTTTGAATGTTACCCTGTTAAAGTCTGCGTATTAACTCGGGAGATGCATTACTATGCAGTGACTGGGTGGTAATAACTGTTTAAAGTGATCTATAGATACACAGCAGTTATTGCCTGTCTGTCTTTCGTTCTTAAGGGTGATTTTTGTTCCAAGGGGAAAAGAAGAATAAAAATATATATATATATTTGCTCGCTTCCTTACAACATTAAATTCTATGGGCTCCTTGATATTGCTATACTGCAGAAATAGTTCTGAGTGCACTTATTTGCCAAAGAAAGAGAGGGGTTTTGATGCCTTTTGAAATTCATTTACCAGATTTTATACACTGCTGTTTTTTCAACTTGATATTGCATTCCATGAAAATTACAAATCTGTCTTCTAAAACGTTATCTCTTATCATCATTAGGTTGCTTAGACCAGTAAAATTTAATGCGTTTTTATTCCTAGATTTAATCTAAATATGGGGAGGGGCTGGGAGGGGGAAACTGTCTTGAAAATGAAGGTGCTGCGATGGTTACACCTGCGCATTTCTGTGCAACCCTATTCGTGCGGTTCGGGCGAGGGATCCCTTCCAGTACTGTACGGAACAGAACGAGAAAAGCAATATAGAGTTGGCTCTTTGGGTTTTCTGGTGCTAGGAGGTAGATTCTGTTCTGTTTTGCAGAGGTAAAGGTCCGCTGAAAAATACGTCGGATGTGATTAGCGCAGCCAAGAAGATTGCAGAGGCTGGGTCGAGGATGGACAAGCTGGGACGGACTATTGCTGACCATGTAAGTCACAACGCATTCTCATAAGCCTCCAGCGCAGATGAGCAATAGGAGATCTTTTAGTACTGCAGACAGGATGAACAGAAGAAAATGTTTCGTTCGGAGGTTATGGGGGTTTTTTTAACTGATTTTCCAGCTTTGCTGCTGGAAAATTCTAGGCTTTTCTTTCTAGCTGCTCTCCTGCCACCCTAAGCAGTGTCAGCAGCTAAATATGTCCAGCAGTAACACCAGCAGCTCCTCGGCTTAAATCAAGCACCTACCATTTTAAGGTAGCTACATGCCAACACTGCTTCATGTCACATAGTATCTAGGCCAGTTTCTCTGACTGAACAGGACTGAGACTGAATTCCTGTCGCTTCTCTCATGCTCAGAGTATGCCCAGTGCTCTCCAAAGCAATGACGAGACCGCGTAGGCAACACCGTAATTACTGCACGTGGCCTGTTGCACAACCTTGAATATTATTTTTGAGGCAGCTTTTTAATATTAACGATTTTCAAATGCCTCATAGGCTGAATGGCGAGATTGTCCAAACTCTCTAGTACTTTTTTCGTTGCCTGGTCGGAGCTGATGAAGACTTTGAGCGAGGCACGGAGCGACCCGAGCGTTTCTCCGCTGTCCCAGGCTGTCGTGCGTGCTGTTGTGCTGTATGTCCAAAAGTGTTTGAAAAGAACTCTGTAGGATTGGACGAGCACGGGCCAGCTCGGGGTTTTACGCAATGCAGCCGCCCGTCCGGAGCCACTTCAGAAACTGGGCTGGGCCAAGCAAAAGCGCCTTTGGTCTCGGTCCGCACCCAAATTGCAGAGAAACATCAGCATTAGTAATAACATTCTGCCTTCCAGAAAGACCCCGACACGCAGGTAGGTTAAGCCTGAGATCACGGACTGAACTCTCCTGTAGAGCTGCCGCCTGCTTTCCAGTCTTTCTCTGCCTGTAGATCCATGACACAAGGTTGCACATAAACCCCTGTCGCTTTGGGAGTAAATCTTTGTAGCGCGGATCTCCCTTTGAATGTTGCATCCAGAGGATGTTGTCTTCACCCTAATTTATTAATGGTGCAGTGAGAA